GTGTGTGTGTGTGTGTGTGTGTGTGTGTGTGTGTGTGTGTGTGTGTGTGTGTGTGTGTGTGTGTGTGTGTGTGTGTGTGTGTTGGTATGTGTGTGTGTTTAATTAACATCGAAAGCTTTGCCATCCACTGACAGTTCCGTCGGCGACTGTAGTGGCCAGGCAGTAGTATGCGCTCACTATCACTTGGGACTTAAAAGTCACCTACGCCACCTGGTTCACTGAACATAATTACACAACCAATGGACGCACTGCACTGAAGTAAATACCAAAGGAAGTCACTCTATACGATAGCTGAATGGTTGATGAGCCGGTGTGAATCTTTAAAGCGTATTTCTTGAGCTGTCAATGTTGGGTTTTTTAAATAGTTTTGATAGAATTCTACAACGGCTTCAGCATTCTTATCTGGTGCGGTACTTGGTTTTTTTCCCCACTATATTTAAGGGCCAGCGGTACTGTAAGTGCTAATCCAAAAATATGTTGCCCTCTTCTCTGTGATGCACTATATTGGTAGCAGTGCTGCAATGTTTGAGTTATTCTTTCATGGTTATTGTCTCTTTTTTTTTAGTTAAGTGTTTGACGGCGCCCCCAGCTGCATACGGTCATATGAGCGGGTGGGACACACCAAACATCTTTAGTTAGTACGAAATTTTGAATTTTTCCTTTCCTGGATCGTGGCTGAAGCCTACTTTTATCGGTTTTAGACCTCCAGGGGTTCTTTAAAGTGTGCAACTTGCACACGAGACTTCCGAGATTTTTCGCCCTTGTCCGAGAAGACTAGGTGTAGATCTTACTTGCCATAAGATAAGAGGTGTGGTTGAAAGACAGCAGCAAGAAGGAGCCAATGGGAAGCAATATAAAGGCTGCAGAAAGAGTCAGGAGCCCAGAGAAGGGGGCAAAAGAGGTGAGGGGGTGGGGGCAGAAAGTGAAGACGAAAGAAGACGACAGAACATTGTTAGAGAGCAGGAAAGGATGTGAAAGGGGGAAATTTGAGAGAAGAAAATTGTCCGTCGCTACCCGGATTCGAACCCGAGACCTTTGAATGAGAGACTAACACCTTAACCTCCAGGCCACGAGAGCCCCCTTATTCAGTCTCTGGAATACTTAAACAAGAGCCTCAGTAAGGCGGTCTGGTCAACTCAGACTGTAACGGTTTAGACAAAACTTTTGCCTAAGACTTAAGTGGAAATCTTCCATATTCGTCTTTTCGGAATGACCCTTATGAATTCGTAGCATTTTAGGGCAAGAGTTTCAGTTATCATGAGTCATCGCTGAAATATTCAGTTTTCATAAGGGTGAAAAAAAAATTCTTTCTTTCAAAGTGCAAATTTACAAGTACAATTGTCATAACAATGCATGAAAAACAATAAACTATTTTTCTTACTATTTGTGTTCCGTTTATGTAGTCCATTTCGAGATGAAACGTCATTGATAAGCAGCATAACTCAGTTGGAATAATATTAATTTGAACCCAAAAGTGTTCGTGGCAAAGCCTAAATGATAATGACCAGGTGAGTATACACACACTGCATCAAAAATTGACCAGAGTACTTACCCCCCCTCCCCCCCACCCCCCACCCCCACCCCTCCTATTCACCAAAAAAAAGGAATATTCCGCTAAATCGACTAAACAAAACGAAAACGTCGAGGAGTATGGCCATGGAAAAGTGGGGATAACATGGAAAGTATAACCAAAAACAATATCATTTATTAGGAATAACGTATTTCCTGTGTTCAGAGATTAGGGTGAAGTGTTAACACAACAAAACAGGGAAAGGAGCAAAAGTCGACAAAACAGGGAAATCTGGATCCAATCCACAGCAAAGAGAAGCAAGTTGGGACGTCTTAAAGAATACAAAATCATTATAAATATCATTTGACATGCTTTATTTCAAACTGAGCTTTTTTCGTCCTTAAAAGAGAAAAAAGCTCCAGACTGTTGTCCCACCCGATCAATTGTACCGTGAGAACACAATCATATTGTCACCCAGTGGCGTATAATGCATCACACATGAACTACGCCATGACGGAATATACTATTGTCCCTTACCAATATAGACAGTATATTTACGCAGTTAAAATTATGTTTAACATTCCTTTGTTTTTGTTTTCATTTTGGGTTGTTTTTTGTTGTTGTTGGTTTGTTGGGTTGTTTTGTTGTTGTTGTTTTGTTTTTTTGTTGTTTTTTTATTTTGGGGAGGGGTGGTGGTTGGTAAGTTAAAGCGCTTTCGAAATCTACAATGCCATGGAGGTACACGGAAGCCTGTTGGAATGACATTAATTAAAAAGTCAAGGGGAGAAAGAGGTAGATTTAGTCAAACAAACAATAGGACTCGTAAACAATAACCAACGCCGGTTTCAAAAGATTCATTCCCAATCGTCTTCTTGTACTGTCTGCAATTTCAAGCACGAAGGAGTGGCAGGGGGCAATTCAACCACAAACCCACAAGCAGTTGCTCTCAAGGACGCCCGAAACTTCTACAACCTAAGATGCCTCAACGATGGAATCATTACAAGATCGGCACAACGAGCTGGTGACACTGATGGAGATATTGACCTGGCCATGGTCTCTCTACAAACTGCCACTGATTGTAACATGGCGGGTCCTTGGATATCACGGAAGCTACCATTTGCCGTGCACAGTGCTTGTCAGGCGTAGGAAACCCGCCAAAAGTGCCAAGAATACAAAGGTATTCGCGTATGAGGTCACGGGCAAAGACTTTATTAGCAGTCTCAGGACGAAGGCAATGCCAGACAGGAGGATAAAGCAAGTGGAGATCACCCAGCCGCCATGATGGAATGATGAGCTGGACAAATTGTGGAGAGCAAAAAAGAAGGGGTACAAGCGTACTAAGGCAACCAAGAGAACCCAGACCTGAAAAGAGCAGAGAAGGAAACTTCAGGGATATTCAAGGTCGAAGCGAAAGAGGCTAAAGAAGTCAATTTCTGATTATTTTTTTTTGTGAAGAGGTGACAGAAGACAGGGCACTATACAGATTCCGGCAGCTGTACAGATCAAAGATGAAAAAAAGCCGGCCAAAGGTCAACCACACTTTCAAAGGGAGGACGACGCGTGAGTGTGGTCAGACAAGGAGAAAGGTGGAACGCTGTTTGCCCGCTTTATTCAGCAGACAGACCAGGGCAACGAAGAGGAACGAAAAAGGCTCCTCTGTGCAATATGCCTGCGGTACGCTTATTAACTCTTCAACTACACCCTCAGTCATGGTGACGTTGAGAGAACAATCAAGCGTTCTCCCAATACCACCTCAGGTCCAAATGGTGTACGGTTCTCTCACATGAAAAACCTTGACGACGACAGCATCAGTGACCTTACAGAAATCCTCAACAAGAATCTATGGAACTGAGAGATACCGGATGACTGATTGGAGAGCCAGTAAGTATCATTCCCCATGCCCGAGAAGGACCCGAGAAAAACAGTTGCTTATCGAGTATTCACAATGCAAAAATTGCGTGAGCAAGCTCTCAGAAAAGGAGGTGGGGTACTTGATCGCAAAGAAGCTAGAAAAGGAAGAGACGCGTATATCGACTCTTGGTAACTACAGAAGGGGGAGGAAACGTGGATGAATACCGTTGTTCTAGCATCATATGTTTATGACGGGTTTGTAAAAGGTGAGAAGACTCTGATAGCAGAGCTTGACCTCGAGGATGCCCACAACAGGATTGAGTGCGATGCCCGTTTGAGAACAATGATCATTCTGAAGATTAGCCCCCCCCCCCCCCAGCTCGTGATATGGGTATGTGAGGCTTCGCTGCAGAAGAGAGCTGCAGTGCAGCTGGGAAACTGAACATCTGACACCAGGAGCACAGCACCAGGATTGCCGCAGGGATCATCACTCTCACCAGTGTTTTTCAACATATACACAGTTGGAATCACTTCTGGACAACTGGAAGGCCCAGGGCGATGGAATAATCACGCAGTGGAAGCAGATATGCCCACTGCCACCATCAACGACAGGGTCCTGAAGCGTGATCACTCACTGAGGTACATTGTATCTAGGTAGCACCTTTAATAGATCACGCTCAGGAAAAGATCCCATAACCAGGATCATCACAAGAACCAGAAATGGTCTGACTGCACTAAAAACCATGGTGTGTAGCAGAATGCCATAGAGAATTTTATCCACACTATACCAGACTCTTGTGCTGTCTGTGATAGACTATGGCCTCGGTCTCCTCATCTTGTCAACACGCAGCTGAAAGAATTCAAAAGGAAGGTATGTGGACTGTTCTCGGGTGCATACGAGACACATCCTGCGAGGCTATGCGTTATTTCCTGGTCCTCCCAACCATGGTAGATTGCTCAGGTGAAAGCGTATTTAAGAGTCAGCACCGATGATCAACACCCACTGAATGACAAAGTGGGAAGAAATGTATGCACATGTCTGCTTAGAGGGACTAAATGGATGAATGAGGCAGCGACGACTTTGGCTAAATGCAGTGAAGTGCAAGACATCCGAAAGGGCAGCGCACGGATGAGCGTCACTGACACGCTTAGGTAGTATACTCGAGTTGTAGCAACCTTAGGCAGAGAATGTCGTGAGTGTCCAGAGGGGGAAGCCAATGCCGAGGTAGTGACGCTGATAGAAGAGAACAGTGAATAGGGCGACGTCGTCATCTTCACAGGTGGATCAGTACAGTGTGGAGTCAAATCTGTCGAAAAAGTGAAGAAACACATGATGTATGCAGACCGGTGAGAGGCAATGCAAAGCAGCATACTCACAAGGATTTTATGGATCTTTAGTCCTGGTCATGCAGGAGTTCAAGGCAATGAACGTGCTGATGAGCTAGCCGGCCAGGCTGAGATTGACGGCGCCATGCAATTAGACCCACCGACAGTCATGGTAGCCTTGACAGCGTGGTTCAACGACCACAGAGAAGATGAAGGCACCATATCACACACAATAGAAAGGTTAACGGAAGCTGGTGTCTCTAGAGGGTCGAGGAGAGACAACAACCTGCGTGGGAAAGCCAGAAGAATATTC